CCGAGGCCCCGGCCGGCGGCGTGGGCTCGCTGCTGCGGGGGGACGCGGAGCTGCGCAGCCACCTCGTGCTCACCACGCGCTTCCTCTTCGGGCTGCTGAGCGCCGAGCGCGCGCGCGACGTGGAGCGCTACCTGGGCTGCGCCGTCTCGGGGCGCGCGAGGCGGGACGCCCTGCAGTGGCTGCAGGGCCAGGGCTGCCGCGCGAGGCTGGCGCCGGAGGTGACGGAGGGCGCGCTGGAGGCCGCGGCGGAGCCGGAGGAGGAGGGCGAGGAGCTCAACCGCCCGCTGGAGCTGCTGTACTGCCTGTACGAGACGCAGGACTCTGCCTTTGCTAGGCAGGCCCTGCACGGCCTCCGCGAGCTGTCGCTGGAGCGAGTGCGCTTCGGCCGCATGGACGTCGCTGTCCTGAGCTACTGCATCAGGTGCTGTCCCACCGGGTGGGCGCTGCGGCTGGTCAGCTGCAGCCTGGCCGCCAAACAGGAGAAGAAGAGGAGGAGCCTGGCGAAGCGACTGCAGGGTGGCCTGGGCGGCGGCAGGTGGGTCTCCAGACACCACCACCTTCTGGCGGGCCCTCCCGTGCCCATCGTGCCAGCGTCCCTCCGGCCCGGAGAGTGTCTAGCCCTGATGCCTGGTTCCCCCCGGGGGTGGGGAGAGGAGCCCAGGGCTGATTTGTCCACCGTTTGGCAAGGCAGTTGCCCAGTGTCTCCCCCATGCCCACCCTCGGCCGTCCGCAGCCAAGGCTCGCCCCCGCATGGCCACGCAGTGCTGGCCCAGCCCCTCCCATGACACTTTCCAGCCGTGAGTTCTGGAATGCTCCACGCCCTCTGTGCCCTGAGACCGTGCACTGGCTGCCCCCTCCTCCCAGAACCTTCTCAGCTTTCTCCCTGTCCCCAGTGTCTGCCTCCAGACCCCACTGACCCCAGAAGTGCCCTGTTGAGCCCCCTGCCATGGCACCCGCCCCGTGACTGTCTTCTTCCCAGACCCACAGTTCCTGCAGGGCAAGGCTCATGTCATTGCTGAGCTTGGCCTGGCAGCTGTGGAGAGAGTGAATGTCAGGCACTGGCTGGGGCCGGGCCTGGGGACCCTAAGACCCACCTCAGGAATGCGGTGACACACTCCCACTGGACTCACATAGGCGGCCCACTGGGGAGGTGCACAGCCTGGACGAATGCCTTTACTCTGGGCTTGGAGGGGGCGAGGAGGTCCTGGTTTTTCTTGGAGGTGAGGGGTGGGCAGCTCTGAGACCCCAGGGCCACAGATAGGAAGGAGCCCTCTCTGGGAGGGACTGGAAGAGGGCCTCACCTTCCTCTCTCTCCCCGCAGCCCTCAAGCCACCACAAAACAGCTCCCAGCCTCCCCACTTTACCCCCTCTTCGAGGCCATGACTGACCAACAGTGTGGTCTGAGCAGTCTCACGTGAGTGACCATCCCCAGCTCCTCCCCCTGCACAGACAGAGAGCAGGATGCCCTGGGCACACAGCCATGTGGTCTAGTGGAGACGGCCAGGGCCAGGCTGAGAGCCTGTGGCCTCTGGTGTTGGGCACTGGGGTTGGCGAGCTCCATGCACGCAGGGCAGGGGACGGGTTAGGTGCTGGCAGGAAGAGGTGTGGCCCTTGCTTGAGTGGAAGCCAGAGGGCAGGTAAGAATTCTGGGGGCAGGGCAGAGAAAACTAGTGTGTTTTCTTTCCAAAGCAAAGCTGCTAAGTGCTGTTGGGATTGGCTGGGTGACCTCCGGGGATCCTCAGGAGCAGTGGAAGGAGGTGGTGGGGCTCCAAGTTCGGGCAGCCTGCAAGTCCTGGCCTGCCCCTGTGTGCCCAAGGGCAAGTCCATCTGCCCCAGCTTCTGCTTCCTCCCCTGTGAAACGAGCCAGCAGATTCTACCTCAGAGGGGAAAGTGAGATTGAATGAGGCTACACGCATACAGCACTTAGAACGTAGGAACTTCCCAATCCTGTTCGTTCACCACCAAGTGAGCAGACACAAGAAAAATGATAGGAATGAGAACTGGTGCGGCACAGTGTAACAGAGCAGTCGTGTGTCGAGGATGATGTGGCAGTTTAGCTTGGTGTGGGGGGTGGGCATGGCAATCTGGAGATAAACATAAGCAGCCAAAGAAGTGATCGCATTGGGCCCAGCAACTCTACTGGCAAACTGTATGCACGAGATGTTCAGCACGCCGCTATTTACAATGGCAAAAAGGAAAGCAGAAACACCAGAACTACCCAACCCTTAGGGACCAGCTGACCTAAATAAACTGTGGCCCACCTCGACTTGAGAGACAATTCCATGGCAATCAACATGTTGAAAGCAAGGTCTGTCCTGGCTCATCAAAAAGCCTGTAGGACTACATCTGTAATCCCAGCACTCTGGAGGCTGAAGCAGGAGGATTGCTTGGGCCCAGGAGCTCGAGACCAGCTTGGACAACATGGCGAGACCTCACCTCTACAAGAAAAAATTTTTTTTAGATTAGCCTGGCGTGGTGGTGCATTCCTGTAGGCCCAGCCATTTGGGAGGCTGTGGCAGAAGGATCACCTGAGCCCAGGAGGTCGAGGCTGCAGTGAGCCATGATTATGCTGGGCAACAGAGTGAGACCCCAACTCAAAAGAAAGCTTGTGCAGAATCATGTCATAAGGAAGAAACGGAGCACAGGTCAGCGTGTGCCCATGGTGGACACAGCTCCCCAGGGACATGTGAGGAAGGCAAGTTGGGGTCCGAGGAAGGGCGCAGGGCCAACGCATCCCCCAGTGGACACTCAGACCTCCAGAGAGCCAGCAGGCTGTGCGTTCGGGGTGGAGAGGCGGCCGAGGGGCCTGCAGACAAATCCGAGCGCTTCTTGACTACAGGCTGTCCTGCTGCACGCTCCCCAACTCCGTCTGCCGAGACCTGTCCCAGGCCCTGAGGGCAGCCCCCGCCCTGGCCGAGCTCAATCTCCTCCACAACAGGGTCAGCGAGGCAGGCCTGCGTCTGCTGAGCGAGGGCCTGGCTTGGCCCCAGTGCCGGGTGCAGACGCTCAGGTGAGCCCCCGCCCGGGAGGGACTGAGGGACGCCACCCCCCACAGCCCCTGAGGTCAGTGCTTCCCCCAGGGCGCAGCTGCCTGGCCTCCAGGGAGGGCTCCAGTTCCTGGTCGGCATGCTTCCACAGAGCCCCGCCCTCGCCACCCTGGATCTCAGTGGCTGTCTGCTGCCTGGCCCCATGGTGACCTACCTGTGTGCAGTTCTGCAGCACCCAGGATGCAACTTGCAGACCCTCAGGTGGGGGCATGGGTGGGAAGGGTGCTGGGACACAGCCTGTCGACTAGGGTTGGGGCATGGTGCCTGGGCCTCCCCTGGACCCTAAGAGAAGCCCTTCCCAGTGGCCTCCCGAGTGACCGAACTCAAACACAGAGCTGGAGCCCAGCCCCGAGGGACCCACTTTCTGAAGCCCCGGTCACAGCCCTGGGCTTTGACCGCTCTGCCTGACCAAATGCCCACCTGCTGTCTGGTGCCTGTGGCCGCAGTCCGGGCTGCTGAGCCCAACACTCTTTCCCCCAGCCTCCGACACCTCCTAGCCCAGTGTGCCTGTGGCAGGGCTAGGCCGACAGCCCCATCACGGCTCTCACCCTGTTGCCCACAGCCCGGCCCCCAGGCCCGGCCCCTTTCCCCGTGACTGACCGCCCCTGTGGTGTGTGTGTGGCCTCAGGCTGACCTCCGTGGAGCTGAGTGAGCAGTCAGTGCAGGAGCTCCGGGCTGTGAAGACGGCAACACCAGGGCTGGTCATCACACACCCAGCACTGGAAGACACCCCAAGCCCTCCAACGGACTCAGCAGTGTCCTCTGAGGCCCTGGAGGCCAGAGCAGTGTGGAGCACTGTAGTCAGAGCCCCTGCGGAGGAGACCCTCCCGTCCTGAGGGAGGGAGGAGACTGCGCTCGGCCTCTCGGCAGCTCTTCTGAGCGAGCAGCCCTGGCCAGGCAAGTGGGAGGCCCAGACAGACACAGCCCCTTGCCTGGTCCTGGACGGCCGGAGCCTGCCCCCCCCGCACCCAGGGGATCCCCCTCCCCCAGCCCCACCCCAGCCCACGCCTTCCCTCCCTGGGACCCTCCAGCCATTCCGCTTGCAGACACCCCAGCATCATGACTGCAACGAGCTCCAGTTAACTGAGCGCCAACCGTGTGGTGGCAGAGTGAGCCGTCCCTGCCGGGCCTCATCCGCGGGGTGGCCCCAGCAGCCCCCAGCGGCCTGGTGGTAGGCGGATCACTGTCCCTCCCTGCGAATTTGGGCCCTGCGACTGGGAGTGAGACCATCCCTGAGGCTGGCTACCCTGAGCCCAGCGGTGGCCAGCTGCCCTCTGAGATCTTTGGGAAGGGAGAGAGTGGAGACAGCAGGAGCCCCAGCACTGGCCGGGAGCTGTGACGGCACGGTGGGCGAGACGCCCCCAGCACTGGCAATAAATTATCCCGTGGATTCATCTCGGTCCGTTTCTGCTGTGCTTGGCAAGGCATGGTAACAGACGCTCACAGGCTTCCCAGAAACCCACCCTCCCAGGGCAGCGTCGCGGCTCCCAGCTCTCCAGCGAGAGAGGCGGCTCAGGGGCCCGGCCTGACCGCAGGAAGCACCGAGGAAGGCTTGGCTTGGAAGAACAGGCAGGCAGTGGACAGCCTCACGTCCCAGAATCTTGCCTGCGCAACCCTGAGGGGCTGTCCAGTCCTCAGGCCCCCCAGGCTTCCCCAGTTCCGGGGGAGATGCACCCTGGGGTCTGCCTCTTCTCTTCCCAGGGGAAACTCCCTCTACAATCCACTTTCTAAATCCATTCCTTGGCCCGGCGTAGTGGCTCGTGCCTATAATCCCAGCTACTGGGCAGGCCAAGGCAGACGAATTGCTTGAGCACAGTAGTTGGAGACCAACCTAGCAAGCCGGCGAGACCTCATCTCTTCAAGAAAAATAATTAAATAATCCAGGCGTGGTGGTGCACCCCTGTAGTTCCAGCTACTCAGAAGCTGAGGGGAAAGGATTGTCTGCAGTGAGCTATGATCGTGCCACTGCACTCCAACCTGGGCGACATAGTAAGACCCTGGCTCAAAAAAAAAATTCATTTAAATAATTTCACAATAGCCGGGCTCGGTGGCTCAGCCTGTAATCCCACACCTTTGGGAGGCTGAGGTGAGT